TCCTGAGTGTTGGGTTCTGGTGTTAGGTCCTGAGTGTTGGGTCCTGAGTGTTAGGTCCTGAGTGTTGGGTCCTGAGTGCAGGGTCCTGAGTGCGGGTCCTGAGTGTTGGGTCCTGAGTGTCCTGAGTGTGGTGTTGGGTTCTGAGTGTTGGGTTCTGAGTGCAGGGGTCCTGAGTGTTGGGTCCTGAGTGTAGGGTTCTGAGTGTTGGGTCCTGAGTGCGGGGTCCTGAGTGTTGGGTTCTGAGTGTTGGGTCCTGAGTGTAGGGTTCTGAGTGTTGGGTCCTGAGTGTTAGGTCCTGAGTGCGGGGTCCTGAGTGTTGGGTTCTGAGTGCTGGGTCCTGAGTGTTGGTTTACTGTTGTTACCTAAGAATATTTCTGTACCTGTGCTGTACCTGTGCTGTGCTGTACCTGTACTGTACCTGTGCTTTATACGTTTACAAATTATTGACCTGTATTCTTCCTATACGTGTAAGTAACGAACGAGGTGGTTATCTGTATGGTCGTGGATCATTAACTCTGTTCCGCTATTTTTCCGGCATTTGTTCTGATTGGTCGAGGTTGGCGACGCTGATAATATATTCCGTAATTCGGTCACTTTCATGCATAGTTAGGTTAGGGTAACGTTTGGTTTGGGTAGGTGGGGAAGGTTTAGTTAATTTATTTAATTTTGCTGCTTACAGAGGCTAGTTTATTGTGCACCATACTCATCTCGTGAGCTGTAGCACAAAAGGATTGCAGAGTAGAGTTCACAGAGGGTCTGTATAACTAACCCCTATGGTCAGGATATTATGGCATTGAATGTTACTCAGTATTTCAAATAATTTTTTGTTTAGTTTTATGCACAGAAGGTAAGTTTCGCAAAAAAACAAAAGTGCGTGAGTACAGGAGTGTGAAGCGGTATGTCTGGCCGCACACTTTGTTATTCACATTTGCGTGAGGGACTGAGGTATTCAAGCACATTGTGTGTTGGGTTTCATACATGTGAAGGGTAGGTAATATGTAGTGAGCGTCACCAGCCTGGACCAGTTAGAGCGAATGTTGGACAAATAGCAGAAGTAAGGAAACGTCAGTGTCCCGACAAGTAACCACAGCCTCTAAGTATACCAGTACTTGGGTCTAATAAGTTGGATGATAAAATATAATTTGGTTCACCTAAAATTGTATCCATTTTCTTTTCGAGTTACAGAAAATAGTTGTTTTATGGTATACTGTATCAAATATCTTGCATATACTTTGATCGGCCTGTTTTGTTAGCCGCTTGGGCGGTAGTGTTATCTTGATCAAGTCTGTGACCTCTAGTGGGACAGGCATCCGCCGTTCAGGCGGTTGGTCTGTTCTTTGTAGCCCAGTGTTTGTGTACTTTACTTTTATCCTCATCAACACTGATCGGCTTGTTAGCCACTAAGGAGGACTTTATAGAAGTTTATAAGCACCCCAGAGGACATTACTCCTTCCAGTCTTCATATCTGGAAATGACGGACGCCCGTCCACAAGGGGTCGCAGCTCAAGGTGGAAGAAACCACAAGTCCAGAAGACTGTGAGGGATAACTTTTTCGGAGTGAAAATTGTGAACTCCTGGAACAATCTGCCAGGGTGCTGTGACGGCACCGAGTGTGAGTTGGCTCAAGACCAGACATGACAAGCACTGGTGCAGGTTCAGATACTGTGGAACCAGTACAACATGCCCATTACTTCTCAACAGTGCGTAACAGAGACGTGACCGACCGCCCAAGGAGCTGTAAAATTATGGGCAAATGTAATTAACCCTAAATTTATATAGACGATCCGAAGCTGAAAGCGTTAGGTTAGGTTAAAGACAAAAAAATCCCTCTTTTCTTTTGCTGCAGTTTTATCAGTAGTTTTTTGTTTTTTTAATACTTTGATACTTTTAATGTATTTAATGTAGTTTGGTATGTTGTTCCAGTTCTTTATACCATAAGGATAATTTTCTTTTCCATAACAACAAACACCAGCAACTACTGAATTATGTTCCCTGCTCCCCTAAATTGGTTGAAGGGGAGGACCCGCACCCCCTTATTCACAACCACAGTTTTTAACATTGAGAGTTAAAACTTAGTATGATTTTCTTTTTCGCATGTGCATTTAATTTTGGCCGAAGGGGGACAACTCTAAAAGCACGTTATTATTATTATTATTTATTATAACCGTATTATTATTATTTTTAACCGCATTATTATCATTATTATTATTTTTACCGTATTATTATCATTATTATTATTTTTAACCGTATTATTATCATTATTATTATTTTTACCGTATTATTATCATTATTATTATTATTAACCGTATTATTATTATTATTTTTAAGCGTATTATTATCATTATTATTATTTTAACCGTATTATTATCATTATTATTATTTTTAACCGTATTATTATCATTATTATTATTTTTAACCGTATTATTATCATTATTATTATTTTTAACCGTATTATTATCATTATTATTATTATTTTTAACCGAATTATTATCATTATTATTATTTTTAACCGAATTATTATCATTATTATTATTTTAACCGTATTATTATCATTATTTTTTTAACCGTATTATTATTATTTTTAACCGTATTATTATCATTATTATTATTTTAACCGTATTATTATTATCTTGGTTGAAATCTTGACATTTTGTATGCTAAAACATTGGAGTATTTTTACTTGGTTTATTTACTCGTGTTCAGGCACTTTAGTTTCATTAAGGGAGGTTCACTTGTTTCATTCTTTACCTTAACATAATCAACTTGTCCTCGTCCATCTATTACTGGAGCTTCATTAGTGTTATTATTTTAGTCAGGAGGAAATGTAAAGACAAAACTAATTAAATTTATTCAAACATAAATCGTAATCTGAAGTTCTATGTCTTGAATATATTTAGGGTCGAAAAATTAAGTTTTGATCAGACTGTCAAGATAGGTCGTCCTCAACACACTGGTTAAGGATCTGTGGTGGAAATGTTTAAATTATGATAAGTAATTGTCTTAATAGTACCCTCGATTATGAAGTTTTGTTAATTACTGTATGCTTATTGATATGAAGACACTTAATAATCAGAATTTCGACTTTTGGACCACATCTCCGTAATGCTATAAAGTTAGCTGTTTTAGTAAGGTTCAAGTATTTGTAGCCATTTTTAAACTTTTTTATATCCTATTGATCAAAAACATTACATTCAAGAAGATTTAATAATAATTTTTACTCTTTTCCATCTAAAAAAAATAACTGTACAAAGGTCACATGATTTGATAGGTCACCCAGACTCATCCTACATGTTTAAAAGGAAAAACTAAGTTTACGTTCATCTTAATGCACAGAAAAAAATATTTACTTTTATAGTTAAACGTTTTAAAGAAATAATTTAAGTACAGAGAGAGAGAGAGAGAGAGAGATGGGCAGTGGCATCTGGCTCTGTATAATATTGTACTGTACAGGATCTGAACACATTATAATGAGAGACCAACCATAAACAGAAGTAGTCATCAGTTATAATCAGGATCTGAGATGTGTGCAGCCCTGTAAGAAAGCTTATTATTGTGGGGTTTCGAGATGTTGGTTCACACTCAGGACGGGTTGGTGAAAGGAAACTCACAATGTGCTCTCTGTATAGATATTGTATTGGATGTACAATGCAGCTTGGTGCTGGGAAGTGGCAGCGTGGTTAGAAGCGTGGAGTAGAGAGAGCTGGTTGGGGAGCGTCCTCAGAGGAGGTGTTGCTTGATGGTGGCTGTAGGTAGAAGAAGGGGCAGGTCACGGCGAGATGAGGTCTTATATAGCGGGGTAGGCGTGGCTTGATAGTTGACATCCGCTCTGTTAGGCGGCGCTAGAAGCCGACCTTAGACCACGAGGCATAGGCTGGGGAATTCGAAGAGGGGTCGGCTAGTCAGCGACAAACGGCAGTTGTAGTTGTAGGGGAGATATCCACTACATTATCACCACTTTCACCAGTGTGTAATACTGTAGTTCACATCCATATTGAACAACAAACAGGAACATGACACATCCCTGTTTAACATCCACATTCATTTCACGTCTCACTTTCTTTCCCATTTACTCTTACTGTTGCGCTGCTGTTCTCATAGAATGCTTTTACTGCATTTAATAGCCTTCCTCCCACCGCATACACGTGTAATGCCTCCCACAATGCTTTTCTGTTCACCCTGTCATATGCCTTTTCCAATCTATTATAAATCAGTAAAACGATGAAAAAGGCATAGATAAAAAAATGCTTTTTGTTTGCTTTAAACCATTGGGTTTAAATCGACTAACCCTGATATTATAATAATAATGATTGTTATCGTCGCTGGCTACAGCTACAGTGTTGGCGTGTGATGCCATTAAATATTTTGACCTGTGACTACGCCAGATGTAGAAGTGTTTACAGACAAGTCCTGGTTCTGCTGAGTGGACTGTCTTCGACTGGTGGCGGTGCTGTCCGCCCCTCCATGAGACAGATCGCCCTTTCTAGTGATGCTGTGAAGACCATCCTTCTCCTGTCCGAGAATTTGTGCTGGGACGATTTACGCAATACTGTTGTCTCTTGGAACACCATACTGATCTGCATTGACCCGCACTTGTAAGTACAGCCTAAGTGATGACATACCCCTCGGTACTGAAATATTGTTGACTAATTACGCCTACTCGTTTCTGCCTAACCTGGAGTAATAAGACAATGCAGAATGAAGAGTAACTAAGATTAATAGAGCTATGAACTTTGTGTTATGTCAGTATGTTTAATAAATTGTAATTAAGATAAAATTGTGTGAGACTAACTAATTATGTATCAGATGGATCACCATGTAATATTGTGACGCCTTCTCCTCTGCAGGTTTTGACCACATCAATAAATATTGAATGCGTCAAAAGACGGGTTTCAATCATTCCCTTCGACTTGCCCGTAACCTGAACGTCCTTAACTAGGGCTTTTACAATAATTATAATAATATTAGTAGTAAAAGTAATAATTATAATAATAGTAGTAGTAGTAGTAATGGTAGTACCTACATAGTGACACACACATCGAACATATGGTTACCCAGGTGGTGTGTGTATTAATTACACGAGCCGCCGAATGAGGCAGCAGGTGATGCTGTCGAGTGACCACTCACCACTACCCAAGTCAGTGACCTGTACTCCAGTCATGACGTAGAAACTGGTGGTGTCTCCTGGGCAGATCCTCCACTGTGTCCAGCCATCTGAGTTCGCTGGCTGGGTCTGCATGGCGCCAGATACAGTGTGGCAGTCAGTTAGGTCCAGACTAGTTATCGAAGCAATGAAATTACTGCTACAGGGGCCCTCCACCGGGAACGTTGCTTGACGAAACCCATTGATGATGTTGTTGCCCGTGCAGGTTACTGACATACATTGCATATAGTCCCCGGTGTTGACGCATTCATCTGTTGGTTGATTTATATTAAAGGGTAATTCGTTGGGATGGTTTTTACAAATTAGGAAAAACGATGTTGAATCCTGATAGATCCCCAGTGCACCGGCATTGGCGTTACACATTGCCTTGGTCTTGACGTTTGCCGTATGTGTGTTGCTGATGTCTGCCATGGATGTTGGTGACGCCGACAGTGTTGTGGTCACCTGTGGGAGGAGATAAGGAGGCATTAGTGTTTACCCAAATCTCAAGTTTTTTATATTTTTTTTTCCTTTTTCTACCATTTTATTTTTTGTATATCCATTTTTTGTCCCTCTTTTTTCTTTCGTTTTCTTTACTTTTTTTTTTACTTTTTTTTCTATGTGTTGTATGTGAGAACAAGGGCAGTCGGCCTCACATGACTCTACCTCGACACAATGTTAAACTCTAGAGAAAGGGTGTCAAAGTCATGGCCCGTGGGCCAAATGTGGCCCGCGGGATGGTCAGGTGTGGCCTGCGGGATGACGGTAAAATTTGTCATCCCGTGAAATTATGTCACAAATAGATATAATCATGTTTATTTAGTAAAATGAATTTGACATACTTAAGGTCAGACAAACCCAAATGAGGTATTCCTGGTAAGCCAGGTAAGGCATTGTGTGAAGCTGTAAACTTCAGTCCTGCAAATATGTGATATAGCACTTGTGTTGGCCCTCAAGAGGGTAACTAAAATAAGAATTGGCCCTCGAAAGGTTTGGAGTTTGACACCACTGGTGTAAGACTTACATTCTTGGTGATTTTTGGCCAAAAATTTGATATTGCTGAAAATCACAGTATGGGTACTCCTGAGCTTGCTGATAATGAATATTGGTCCACGATTCGATTGCAGAGTAATTAGTGGCCAAAATAACCCTTGGAAGGTTTAACTGACATTTTTCAATGCTAATTACTCATCAACTATGGGTTTCCAAGGTGTGATTTAGGGTTTGTGTGTTATTCTGAAAGTTCTTAATTAGTTAAACCCCTTAAATTTCATTACGGAGAAAAAAGTATATTTTGGTCAAAAATTTTGGAAGGTGTAAGTCTAGAGAGCCTGAACCCTGAATAATAAACCTTGCCGAAACTGATGGCTCACTCTGGCGGGTCAGTATCTCGAACATTGCCAGACACATTATTATTTCTTAAACTATTGTTAAACCAACCTAATACTATTTTGGGGGTGATGAGGTTACGTTAGGTTTGGTTAGGATAGCGTTAGGTTTGGTTTGGTTAGAATAGGTTAGGTTAGGATAGATTAGGCTATGTTAATGTTAGATTAGATTAGGATAGATTAGGTTAGCGTAAGGTTATGATAGGTTAGATCAGGTAAGCGTAAGCTTATGATAGGTTAGGGTATATTAGATTAGGTTAGATTAAGTTAGATCAGCGTTAGGATAGGTTAAGTTAGCGTTAGACAATTGCAAACAGGCACTGAAGATGTGAATTACACGAAAGCGCTTGGGAACTTCGTGTTTTCTTCTTTCCTTGTGGTTATCAGCATATACCTAGATCACGCGCAACTACAGTGATTTACTTGCATATATATATATATATATATATATATATATATATATATATATATATATATATATATATATATATATATATATATATATATATATATCGTAGGCTGTTGATTATAACACAACTATAATTAATTTTGAGTGCACCAATAACTTACCGCTGCTGGGTCGGCAGTAGTACTGGGCGGAGGTGGAGGAGTTGCGGGATAAACTGAAATTAAGAGAAAAAATATCACCCGTGTGTTAATAATTATAACATTATTTTTTTACAATATTAGGAAGGTTTTATATAGAGTTAGTGTGAAAAGTGTCCGCCAGGAGTTCCATCATGAAACAACTTCACGTGTGTGTGTGTTTGTGATCAAATGTTAGACTAAAATATATCATTCTTTATACAGTACTTCAAATGAGACCTTCCCAGGGATTAAAAAAATATTTATATTTGCATTATTACCTAAAAGCCAGGAGCCTTAGTGTGCCACCCAGTGTAGAACAATTACCTAGATCATTCCTGCAAAGTTTTATATTTATAATTTTAAATAGAACAAATTATACAATGGACTGAGTTATCTGAAGATCTAAATGGATTCAGAAAGAGAAAATGAACTAGAGAAGATATATCTGGTTTGAGAATTTTGAGGACGAAGGATTTAGAGGTTCAAAGAAATTTTTACATCTGCTTTGTTGATTTTGAAAAAGGTTTTGATAAAGTAAAGAAAAAACAATAAACTTATAGAGGTCTTGGAAAAGTACGTATTGATGAAGGAGAAAAATAATCTTTACTAGCAACAAGAGATAGACAGGGAGTACAACAAGGCTGTGTTCTGTCTCCAACACTGTATAATATATAATCAGAAGTTTTAATGAGATAAGTTATAAGTAACAATGAAGAAATAAAAGTTAATGGTAAAGTAATATCAAATAAAAGCTATGTATTGATGTTACTCCTCCTATTTTGTGTATTTGGGAAGTAACATTAACTGTGTTGGCATGCAGAGGAAATCATAACAAGAATAGAACAACCAAAAAAAATATTTAGCCTAACCCAACCAAACCTAACCTACCCCAGTCTAACCAAACTTAACCTAACCTAACCAAACCTAACCTACCCCAGTCTAACCAAATTTCACCTAACCTACCCCAGTCTAACCAAACTTAACCTAACCAAACCTAACCTACCCCAGTCTAACCAAACTTAACCTAACCAAACCTAACCTACCCCAGTCTAACCAAACTTAACCTAACCAAACCTAACCTAGTCTAACGTAACATATCACAGTTCTTGGAGCTTCCTTGTCTATATGGTTCAGTTCGGGTTTTTACAATTTAGTGAATCGAAAAGGTAACTGGTATGGTGACAGAACAGGTGTTATCAGGTGTGTAGGAAGTGTTTATAGTGGGAGCGTAACACATTTACTCACCGGGTTTGTAACAGATGGTGTCAGAAGCGCCATCTGGTTCTGTGAGCAGCTGGTGGAGGCGACATTGACCAGCTGAATCCATCTCGTTGGCCAAGTTCTTCTGGAAGCTGAACCCTTCACACAGTCCGTCTGCCAAATGCACGAACCATGCAGTCAGGATACTACAACATGTGTTTGTACGTGTGAACCTGCCCTTACCTTCAGTCACCCAGGAATCGAGAGCTTGTTTCTCCACCCAGCCAGAGACAACTGCACACACACACACACACACACACACACACACACACACACTTATCATAGAACCAAAGTCACTGTACATATAAATAGTTTAAGGACAGAATGAACTATTAACATCATCAACACACAACAAGTTGGCCATCAAAAAACAAAAAAATCTGGCCTTGGTAAACATAAAATGATAACTTGAGTTGATCAGAAGTTGTGGTAACAGTGTCATTTTACTTACCATCAACCATCACATACAGACATCAAATACTTCTTCATCCACTATTATCCATCACGTCTGTCAACTCTCATCAAAATTCTCTACACAAACTATCAATTATTTATTTTCATTTTTTTTATCTGAACTCATTACATCTCAATCATGTTCGCTGAGGCTTATCTTACTATGGGTACAGTGGGTGGCACAGAGGATACGGCTGTGGGTGGGGAAGTTATCTTACTATGGGTACAGGGTGGTACAGAGGATGGCTGTGGGTGGGGAAATTATCTTACTATGGGTACAGTGGAGGCACAGAGGATACGGCTGTGGATGGGGAAGTTATCTTACTATGGGTACAGTGGGTGGCACAGAGGATACGGCTGTGGGTGGGGAAGTTATCTTACTATGGGTACAGTGGAGGCACAGAGGATACGGCTGTGGGTGGGGAAGTTATCTTACTATGGGTACAGTGGGTGGCACAGAGGATACGGCTGTGGGTGGGGAAATTATCTTACTATGGGTACAGTGGGTGGCACAGAGGATACGGCTGTGGATGGGGAAGTTATCTTACTATGGGTACAGTGGGTGGCACAGAGGATACGGCTGTGGATGGGGAAGTTATCTTACTATGGGTACAGTGGGTGGCACAGAGGATACGGCTGTGGTGGGGAAGTTATCTTACTATGGGTACAGTGGGTGGCACAGAGGATATACTATGGGTACTGTACTAGTGGGGAAGTTATCTTACTATGGGTACAGTGGGTGGCACAGAGGATACGGCTGTGGGTGGGAAGTTATCTTACTATGGGTACAGTGGGTGTCACAGAGGATACGGCTGTGGGTGGGAAAGCTATCTTACTATGGGTACAGTGGGTGGTACAGAGGATACGGCTGTGGATGGGAAAGCCATCTTACTATGGGTACAGTGGGTGGCACAGAGGATACGGCTGTGGGTGGGAAAGCTATCTTTCTATGGGTACAGTGGGTGGCACAGAGGATACGGCTGTGGGTGGGAAGCTATCTTACTATGGGTACAGTGGGTGGCACAGAGGATACGGCTGTGGATGGGGAAGTTATCTTACTATGGGTACAGTGGGTGGCACAGAGGATACGGCTGTGGATGGGGAAGTTATCTTACTATGGGTACAGTGGGTGGCACAGAGGATACGGCTGTGGATGGGGAAGTTATCTTACTATGGGTACAGTGGGTGGCACAGAGGATACAGCTGTGGATGGGGAACTTCGCCAGGTCATCACCACACACACCCAGCCCCTCCAGTATAAACATCTTAGCTTCCGCCCACACCACCACCACCATCACCATCACCATCACCACCACTTGTTGCACGGGGCTCATCCTCCTCTTGTCACCTCTTGTCTGTGTGTCTGTAAGGGATAAACAATCAATCAGTGAAAACAAGAAGTCTCAATTTCTCACCTAAATTAATATCCTAAACACATCTGGGCATCGTAAATTGCCAATACCATATCGACGTCATTGTTGTTGATTAGTTTGGTGCCATTACTTGAGTTGTGAGAGATGTGTCAACTCTGTAAAATACATATCTAGCGTCCTTAGTCTGGTTACTGTTGCGAGGTTTCTTTAGGACCATAAGATGTAAACAAACACACAGTTGCCACATCACATTCAAAACGATTAAGAGAATAACGTTAGTCTAGACCATAAGTAACGTACAGTTGTGAGCAAAATTCCCTAGACACTTGACAGTACATGAACAATTGAATATATTATCAGTCAACAAAAACCCATCGTCAGTACATTATAATCAACAATACAGTACCACAAACAGAAGGATATATAGACAACGCTTGTGTACACTCTCACCTTTTAAAAACTTCTCAACGCTAAAACCACAATACAATCTGGAAAAATAAACGAAGAATCTTAAACCATTTCAAGATGACAAGGTCCATTCTGCTCTTCCTCACACCCAGGTATCCGAGAAGTTTTTAGTGAGTGTGTACGATTTTTGGGATTGTGGAGAGTTCATCTTTTGTGATAGTTTCCCTCCACTTTACTCGCTCGCTTACACTGACAAAACGAACTGATGAAGACTATGAAAAATTATCCCCGAGGAGGACGTCTAGAAGAGAGGGTTATTTTACTGTATGACTTCATGATCATATATGGTGACACTGTAATGGTGGGTTGTGGTTATGGTGTGAGTCAGGGTCTTGTGTGTTGTTATAGTGTGAGTCATGAGTCAGGGTCTTGTGTGTTGTTATAGTGTGAGTCATGAGTCAGGGTCTTGTGTGTTGTTATAGTGTGAGTCATGAGTCAGGGTCTTGTGTGTTGTTATAGTGTGAGTCATGAGTGGGAGGAGATGGATAATATGAGGGAGAGAGAGGGATGGCGGTGAGGAGTGAGGGAGAAGGGAAGTAGGCGGGTGGAGGGTTAAGAGAACAGTGATGAAAGGGAAGGGAGGTGGAGAAGGTTGAGGGAGGAGAGGGTGAAGAGGGAGAATTTCCCTCCAAAATTATAGTGAAAACATTTTCAAAACTTTTCCAAAGATGTCAAAAAAAAAGTCTGCTGTGACGTCATGAACAATGGCTGTGGCTTCATCACTCACTGCTGTGATGTCACTACCAACTGCTGTGACGCCATTACCAACGTGTGACATAATCGTCAACTGCTGTGTCATCACCAACAGCTGTAACGTTATCGCCAAAGGTTGTGACGTCATTACCAACCTTGTGTGTTCACCATCATGAGAGACCTTGTGTGTGCACCATCATGAGAGACCTTGTGTGTGCACCATCATGAGAGACCTTGCATGTGCACCATCATGTGAGATCGTATGGTGACCCGGAATAAAGGTGTATCGTGTGAACCTTCAGTACCTCACCTCGCCTCCCCTGTAATGAACCACGCAGCACCTTGTTGTTGTCAGAGCTCCGTCAGCTGTACTTTGTAGGGAGGAACATCAGCTGGTTGGGATAAAACAAGAAGCCACTCACTGAACACGAATAATTCACCAAACACTTAGCGCCACCCTCGAGTTCTACACTGTCCTGAACACAAGTAGAACAGAGCCACACGCGATGGAACCCCGAATATCACGTTAGCTCGATAATTAATGTCCGAAGTAAATGTGTAGCCTGAGAACACAAGTGGTCGAGTTTCTTAAGTGCACACGAACATTGACGTACAGTTATTTCTGGCACACTTCTATCGTCTATAATCTATTGTATGGAGCCCCTTAGTGACCAACAGCTGGACCCCCCCACGCCATGCTGACCAAACTTTAACTTAGAGGGAATTGATTGAAGATATAATTATAATGTTGAAGCTTCAGAGTCTTTCAGGGTTATTGTTAGGGTAATGGTGCGTCTTGTATACCAGCTATCGCTCTCTACACAACACACACACACACACACATCCATATACCACTACTGTATCTCATGTAAATGCTCACTCTGAGTGTAGAGGTTAAGTGGTAGCTTAAGTCTGGTCGAGCAGTTCCCAAAATGCTTCACTCTTTGTTCCCTTAAGTCTCTTAAGGGATCACTGTAGACTTTCCACTTTTCCACCTTTCCATTTTACCACTTAGTCCCAAGGAAGTACCTTATAGAAGGGTTAAGTATAAGTCGTGCTCTAGTTTGTACAGCAGTGGTCCCAGGTCACATTCCTTCCCATGCGATCCCAGATTTCCTCAATTCCTCCCCCATTTTGAATTGTCATCTAGTAATATTTTCACCATTATACTTTTACTGTGGTAATTATTGAAAAATTTATGAAACTAAATTGCTTTATTAATTCCCATTAAATGAAAAAAAATCCTTATTTCAATGGATCATAAAACTTTCATTTGATTTAATGCCCACTGTGGCCTGCGTGCAGAGAAACTAAACTAGAAAACCGAGGAACAAATCCAGTTAGTTGTGCTCGAAGGTCACCACGCTCACAAATGTTGAGACGTCCTCGTGTGATATATATACACAGTGTACAAAGTACATTCTTTCCCCGTTTGGAGTTCCTCCCCTGACTGAAATTCCTCCCCAATTTCTCCCCTGGCTAAAATTCCTCCCCTGGGAGCCAAGTGCCTCCCGTTTGAGAATCACTGTTGTACAGGGATATATTCTCTGAGTACAGAGCCTGCCGGGCTCCAACCGTCTAGGAGAGAACTTAGGTTATTACTCTGAGCCGCCTGGTGACTGACTAAATAAACTCTAACTAACTTTTCGGCATGTGACTGTCATGGTCACAGTGACTGCTGGTCTGTTTTAACCCTGTTGATTCTTATTATACTCCACGCCCGCAAAACATGAATGGGTAACTGGTTAGATATCCCTGAGAAGAAACACACTTTTCCCTCTCGATGTTGAACACAGTTGTCAATACGTATATATTTCACTTTTTACTGGCAAGCTCAATCTTGAATTAGTTTATGTAAATCAACTTAAGTAATTCGCCAGACCTTTGTCAACTGAGGGTCATCTTTGGATGTGTAGCAGTTGATTTGTGTGTGATTTTTGTCATTGCGTGAGTAGCCACGTCTGGCAACTCAGGGGTATATAAACCCCGGGCGGGACGGAGGATCAAGCCTCCCTCCTGACGTCTACAAAATTGTTCCCAGGTATGTTGTAACAGTGTAATTGTCATTTACTCAGTGTGAGAAGTAATATAAAGTAAATGTCGTCGTGTCGTTGCTAGACGAAAGATTGTTTGTGATTGAGTCATCCTCATGCCTCCCTCCCGTGACGCTCCAACTTTGTTCCCAGAAACAGTGTGTGGGCTTTTTGAACACCCCACCGACTGCCTGGAGTCGGTGGCTACCTATCAGTTAGCTGTAGTGGACGATGTCGGTGATTCGACATGATTAACTTGCTCCAGCCCGCCTCGTGGGCCTTAGACCCCAGACTCGCCATCTATCACAACAGCGGTTGTCAGTCGTTGAGTGTTCTACTCCGGGACATGCCTTGAAGTTATATGGTCCGCAGTGTTGTATGTGTTTGGGGATAATTGACTGGAAATAATTATCCCATGTTGGGTAGTGAACCCCTGTAACTTGTTTGTATCAGTATTAACTTGTTGTGTGTTGTTAGTGCATCTCATATGCACTACCAACAGTTAGTGAAGGTACCATATGTAAGTTTGTCTTGTAATGTAATGTAACACCAGTAATGTTGTAAGAAGCGAGAATATCTGACTGGAGTTGTATGTATATTATGTATGCTGTATGTATATTATGTATGTGCTCCATTTATATACACTATTTATTCAGCCTAGCTAGCAACGTGTGGCAATGTATTTACCATGTCCCACACGCTTAATTAATGTGCCTGGCGACATATGGAAGCTGCTAATGTATCACTTACCACATGTCGCCCGAAAGGCTAGTTGACCCCCCAGACAGAGTAAGGAGCGCCACCTCCCTTGTGTATCTGTTTATCCAGGAAATAGAACCTATGAAAACTCTACAGGTGTTTGTGTTCGCTCCTGTAGATAGAACTTGATACCCAGAACACATGCAGGAGTTGTAATATGAGTAAAGCCACGTAGTTGATCCTGGTGACTGTTAATGTAATGTAACACCGCTAAGGTTGTGAGTAATAAGAGTATAGTGTCTGAGTGAATTGCAGTTGAGTAAGCCGAGGAGTTGTATGTTCATGCCATCTTTTTCCTTACTTTGGTTTTATTAATAAACCATTTCTTAGAGTATATTAGGGGTATTCATTTCTCCTCAGTATTCCACCTTTATTTCCGTCCAAGTGACTTGATATCAGAATTACAGTACCCAGGTGCCCTAGAACCTCGCCATGCTACCAAAAAGAACTGAGGCTATGTAGTAACCATGAACTGAAATAAGTAGAAAGAACAATTGAAGGAGATAAGAAAGAGAGAAGTTGTATTAAGAATATAAGGGAGAGTAGAAATCCCCGTCCTTAAGGGTGGCCTCGGTGGTTCAGCAGTAAGTAGTAGTGTGCCCCCGCTTACATGACAACCCAGGTGTTCAAGTTTACTTTTAAAAGTGAGAACGGTTGCATACGCGGCTAAGCGAGGCGACATTCAGACGGAAAGTGTACACATGTTTAAAACCTCCTGGGTTATTGGTAGAGCGTTTGGCGCCATGGAGGCTGCAAACGACCTACCAAACATCATTAATTCAATATAATTAATAGTTAAAGATCCCAGTAATGATTTTCTCTTAGATAATTATGCCGGATTAAAAAATAACCACCTGCCCTGGCGCGCCTTACTAATTGGACTTCTGATAAACACCTGTGATGGCGTGACTTACACCTCCCACCTCCCTGTACCACCACTGTACCTCACACCTCCCTCTACCACCACTGTACCTCACACCTCCCTCTACCACCACTGTACCTCACACCTCCCTCTACCACCACTGTACCTCACACCTCCCTCTACCACCACTGTACCTCACACCTCCCTCTACCACCACTGTACCTCACACCTCCCTCTCCACTCTCACACCTCCTGTTACCACCACTGTACCTCACACTCCTGCTACCACCACTGTACCTCACACCTCCTCTACCACCACTGTACCCACACCTCCCTCTACCATCACTGTACCTCACACCTCCCTACCACCACTGTACCTCACACCTCCCTCTACCACCACTGTACCTCACACCTCCTGCTACCACCACTGTACTCACACCTCCTACCACCACTGTACCTCACACCTCCTCTACACTCCTGCTACCACCACTGTACCTCACACCTCCCTCTACCACCACTGTACCTCACACCTCCCGCTACCACCACTGTACCTCACACCTCCCTCCGTGTCAAGGTGAGTGGACGGATTATAACAACTACAACAACAACAAGACAGTAGAACATCACAGGTAAATCAGTAATGAAGAAAAAAGACCAAGAAAGAAAAAAATCAAGAAAGAAGACCAAGAATAAAGAAAGAATTAAGAAAGAAAACCATGGAAAAAAGATGAAGAAAGAAGAGAAAGAATAAAGAAAGAAAAGACCAAGAATGAAGGAAGAAGCTAAGAAACAAGAAAACCACAAAGGAAGAAACCCAAAGAAAAAAGATGAAACAAGACGAAGAAAGACTATCGCGAATGAAGAAAGAAGACGAAGAAAACAGATTCAGAACGAAGAAAGATCAAGAAAGATTATCACGACTGAAGCAAAATAAACGCTTTCGTACGTCAGTGAAATCAACATCACCACAATACTGACCCCAAACAGCAAATAAACTCGAGATATTGTTACGATGTCAAATTCAACATTGTCAATCTGTAGGTGATAATAGCCTTCCTGTTTAAATTCTGTCGTGGAGTAAATTACGGGGGAAAAGTATAAGTTTTCTTGAGTAATTTAATATAAAGAACACTAGATATGGATTATACAGGTAAAAAAAATCTAACCTTACTTTAAGTATCACGGAGATATTATACGATTGGGAGGCCTGGAGAGACGGGATAGTTGTTGACAGGCGGCTGAAGTGTTACTGTGAGGCAGAAAGTAGTACCCCCGGCTCTTATTGTCCCTTACATGCCACCACCACCACCACCACCATTACTGCGCACGCTGCCACGCTCCTCTTAACGTCTTTTTTTTTAACTGGATTCCTTATAGCTTTAAAGCTAAGTGATAATTTATAATATAATATGAAATTATCTAACCACATAGAAGGGTACAACCTTTTTCACAAGGACAGGGAATGTAGGAAGGGGGGAGGGGTCGCACTCTTCGTCAAGGATACATTAAAATGTTGTACTAATAATTCAATAAAGGGTGAAATAGGAACCGAGTCTGTGTCGGTAGAAATCACGGAAGGAAGAGAAAAACTAATTATAGGAGTGATTTACAGGCCCCCAAGTCTTGGCAAAGAAGCAGCTCAGCCCATATGGCAGGAAATGAGTAGGGCAGCAAAATATAACAACCTGTGCATTATGGGGGATTTCAACTTCAGAAATATTGACTGGGACAACATTGTAGGCGACTATGAATCTGAAGACTTCCTAGACGCAGTACAGGACAATTTTTTGAAACTACTAATTACAGAACCTACTAGAGGTGACAATATATTAGACCTAGTATTAACAAATAAAGAAAATATTATCAGAGATATCACAGTAGGGGAAGAACTAGGTAACAGTGATCACAGAGAAATCAGGTTCACCCTAAATTGGGAAACGAAAAACAATGGCAAAGTCCCAAACTTCTATCATATCTCCCCGCACTCTTCGTCTTTCTAGGGAATGCAAGTTAAGTTTCTTTAACCTATCCTGATATGGAAGGTTTCTAAGTCCCGGAATCATTTTTGTCATTCTTCGCTGCACCGACTCTAGTGAATTTATATCCATTCTATAATAGGGGCACCAGAACTGAACCGCATAATCGAGGTGCTGCCTGACTAGCGCAAGATATAGTTGCAATAAGACCTCTGCACTCTTGTTACTTACACTTCTAGATATAAAACCCAATACTCTGTTTGCCTTATTTCGAACATTAACGCACTGTTTTCTAGGCCGTAGGTCCGGGCTTACAAGTACCCCTAGGTCTCTTTCACAAGTCGACTTCTCTAGGTTGATGTTGTTATGGCTGTATACATTATAAGTATTTGTTCTTCCAATATTAAGTACGCTGCACTTGCTGGTGTTGAATTTCATTTGCCATTTTTCAGACCACCCCTGCAGTTTATTTAGATCCTCCTGTAATGCATTTGCGTCCTGCCCTGAATTAATTTGCCGCCCTATTTTGGTGTCATCCGCAAACTTGCTTATCTCACTGCTGATCCCAGTATCTAGATCGTTTATGTATATTATGAACAAGAGTGGGCCTAGTACTGACCCCTGGGGAACCCCACTGGTTACACGGCCCCACTCAGATTTAACACCATCTACGCTGACCCTCTGCGTTCTATGGGTGAGCCATGATTTTATCCAATTTAAAACTTTCCCCTCGATACCATGAGCCTTAATTTTTCTCAGAAGCCTCTGATGCGGTACTCTGTCAAATGCTTTGCTAAAGTCTAAGTAAATAACATCGTAGTTTTCGTCATTATCTACTACCTTAAATGTTACTGAATTAGAGGAAGTAGAGTTACATAACTGATATGTAAGGTGGCCCGCAATGTGACATTAGCGATACACCCACATGACCATTTACCCCCACTCCCCCCCCCCCCTTCCCACGGGTGGTTGAGGGATCTTTAATTCAAATTAAACTTGGACTTAGTTTTTGCTTTAGGAAGACCTAGGTAGATTATTTTCACGCTATATAGTGTAGACTCCTATAATCTGGCCAATGATGCTCTTAAGCAACAAGAAATTGATAACCTACAATATTATATTTTCACTCTGGGAAGAAAGGAAAAATGTAAGTCGAAAGAAAAAAATGATTTAGAGAATAAAGGAAGAAATGTATTGTCACACATGATAGAGGGAGGCAGCAGGAATTAGTGGATGATATATATAGTAGTTACTTATCATGTCCTAACAACCTGCTGACAGTCGTTGTCATGATGTAATGGCAGACGGAAGATCACAATTCATATTTAGCCTTCTGTTCACGTGTTGCCCCATCACCAGACTATCGCCAGTGTTTCTCACGCCCAATCAAAAACATCTATACGAGCTGTCCATATGGTTCAATCGTAAGACTCTGCACGTAGGATACAGTAACCCTAATCACACTTGAGATGTTTCCGGAACTATGCCATCTCGATTATCCAAATAGAATGAGTGCCTTAGGAATAACAATCCTTCAGACAAGGCACAGAAGGAGAAGCACAAGTTGATCAATGATTCCCAACATGGCTTCACAAGTGGGCGTTCATGTCTGACAAATCTATTAACATTCTTTCCAACTGTTTTCGAATCAGTGGATGACAGATACGATTATGATGTGGTATACCTCGATTTTGGCAAAGCCTTCGACAGAGTCCCCCACGAAAGACTAATACCAAAAGTGGAGGTTAACGGAATTGGAGGAGATATTCTAAAATGGATCAGGGTGTGGTTACAGGACAGGAAGCAGTGAGTGAGCATTAATGGCACTAAATCCGATTGGGGTAACGTCACTGGTGTAATTAAATCTGACTAGGACTCCGCAAGACTACAGGAAGATTAAAAAAAATGCATGGTCTGAAAAATTGCAGACGAAATTTAAATGTAAAGTACTTAGTCTAGGAGATGTAAACAGGGAATCCAGATACCAGATGAACAACGTTGTTTTAGAGAAATCCGACTGTGAGAAAGATTTAGGAGTAATGATAAGTAGGAATCTTAAACCAAGACAACAATATATGTTTGCTCGAAACAAGGCTAACAATGTACTTGGATTCATACAAAGGAATGTTAGTTACAAGACTAGCGAAGTTATCCTAAAACTATATCTTGCTCTTGTGAGACCTCACTTGGATTACTCGGTTCAGTTCTGGTCACCGTGCGACAGAATGGATATTGAATCCCTGGAAACCATTCAGAGGAGAATGACAAGACTAATCCCGGGCATTAGGAACCTTGGGTACAGAGACAGGTTAAACCATGTTAATTTGCCCTCCCTCGAGAGACCTACGAGTGAGGGGCGGTCTGATCGAGGTGTATATATGGAAGTCAGGGCTAAACAAAGGTGATATAACAAAGATACTCAAACTATCCAACCAGGAGCGAACTCGTAGCAATGGTTTTAAATTATAAAAATTTAGATTTAGGTGCGAGATAGGTAAACACTGGTTTGAAAATAGAGTAGTGGAATGGAACAAGTTACCGAACTTCAGCATTAATTCGAACACACTGGGGAGCTTCAAATATAGGTTGGACGGATATATGAGCGATAGGGCTTGCCTTGTATGGGCTAATAGGCTCACTGCAGTTTCCTCCAGTCTTATGTTCTTATACATATCTCGTAGAAACATTCAAAAATCCTGAAAGTGATGGAAAACGTGAACCCGGGACATTTCTTTGTGATGCCACGCACCAGCAACACGAGGGGACATAACTACATGCTCGCTAAGGTCATGCAGGACGAATATGAAGTGTATATTATTTAACATTACGAACTCAGTAATAGAACCTCTGAAGAAACATGTACTGATTCTCACAGATGACACCCGGGAGTAAGAAACTATTAGTGTTCATAATTTATTCATTATTCATCCGATCGCCCAAGCAGCTGACGAGCCGATCAGTGGTGAGGAGGATAAAAATCAAGGTGTGATATAATGCGCCAGGGTATAGGTAGGGTGGTGTACTGTCGACACACACACACACACAAAATAAAATAAAAAGTATTGATAGAGTTAGAGGCTGTGTTGATGGATGGTCTACAAGTAGTCTGGAACCTTGGCAGCGCTACATGCAAACACAAACACATTCACTATTCATACACACACTTTAATTACACACTTATACACACGCACACAGTCGCAACTGAAGGATTAGCCGTGATTTACAACATTACCTCCTGGTTGACGTGAAAATACCCGTAATTAAATATATAATGGCTTTACAATAGAATCTCATCATATACCTGTGTCTTCAACTATCATCATAACCATGCAGATTCGCCTCAGTTCTGATTCCGTCTCCTATTCTAACTGTCTTTTGTTATTTTACGTAGGGAAAGGTTATATTATCCATGAAAACAAAAACGCATCCATAAACAAATACATACACTCATAACATAAACACTCTTTACATGTTAGAGAATTAAATCTATCGCCCCATTATGTTCTCTCGAGATCAACGAACATAGTCTCCGGTGTTCGCCTGAAAATTCTTCCTCGTCCATGATGGAGAGTTTCAATACATGTCATCCAGAGAACTATTGAGAGTAGTTAACGAAAAACCAAAACAAACATTTCACATAAACAGGAGTGAAAATAATGTGTTTTTAGGAACGCATTAAAACTTTTGTCATTAGTGATAAAATATGACGATTGACCTCCGTACTGACGAAGATATGAGGTTTATTATTGTTGGGTGACTATAAAACGCTATGCTCACTTTTAGTCCAATTCCAATAAATCAGCTCTGGCATTCACTTATTGTTGCTTTGACACTCGATCTTGAATATTGATGTGAATATTTATCTAAGTTACAAAGTCTATAATATTAATAGAAAAAGTTGCATATAACGGATTTTGATCTAACGGACTGATCTCTTACATATAGTCCGTTAGAAAGTTTCATATATAACAGACTACCCTCGTATATATATAGTCCGTTAAGTGTCATATTTAACGGACTTCTATACAACGGATTAACCTCTCATATAGTCCGTTAGAAGAAAGTTTCATATTTAACCTAACGTAAAATCTTCCAATACTCAATGTAAGTCACGTGTCCATACTGTTGTAGTGGACGTCTCCCCTACAACTACCTACAACTGCGTAGCCACAGCCACCACCTGCTACCGCCTTCCCTAGCAACCAACCAGATGTTACCGTATCTTAGCAACGGAACCAGGAACCGGCGACTTTCTGGGTTTTCCCAACATGATT